ATTTCTCCTTATTTAATATGTTAATAAATGTGTATATATTATAATCATAAATTTGCACTTGAGATATATTTTGATATTGATACCTAATATAGTTTTTTTTCCTTTTTTTTTTGAGGGAGGAGTAATAAAAGCACTTAAAACCATTTCTTGAAGATGGGGAACATACACTATGGGACAGAGTCAAAAGCAGACATACACAGAGAAGGCCTAGGCGACTGGCTTTGGGCATCTAGACATCTGCTTCGTACCTACCATTTACTGGGAACCATGTACTGTGCTAGGCCCCAGAGACATGGAGATGAGAAATGCAGCTCCTGACCTCCAGGTGGGGGAAAGGGAAAGCTAGGCTTTCCAGCACTGTTTGACGGCTGCAAAAAATATAACTTACACAGGGGGCCAGGAAGACAAGGGGAGGCCATCAAATTCAAATCAGGCTGTTGCAGATGACAGTGGTGCCAAGCCCTTGACGACAGTTAGGCAAGAGTTGGAAGGACACAACCTAAGACAACACATGCCACAGTGCTCTTCTGGAAGTAGCTGTGCGTCTGATATATTTGTTCTAGGAAAAAACTATGCAGTGGTGAAGCACAGCAGACAAACACAATGTCTGAGGCTGCACAGGAAGTTTCTGGGAGGGAGGAAAGGAGAAAGGAAAGGAGGAGAAAAGAAAGGAAGCAGGAAGGGAGATAGTCAAGTAGATTTTTTCACATTAAGAGGTTCATTTTACCCAAGAAGATAAAATATTCTTTGGTAGAGAATTTGAACTAAGAACCAAAGCTTACCCATCTATCCCTCTAGGTTTATTACTAAAATATCAGAAATTCAAATTTGTGTGGCCGCTCCTGTGGCCACATGACATCATATGTTCTTCATAATCAGCAATAGAAAACAAATTATCTAATGATATCTTTGTGTCAGGTCTGAATGTTGGGGAAAATTCCAAATAACAATGTTGGGTCTTTTGTCGTAATATTGAATGTGATCAACGGGGAGAGAGAGAGAGAGAGAGAGAGAGAGAGAGAGAGAGAGAGAGAGAGAGAGAGAGAGAGAGAGAGATGGAAATCTTCCACACAGGCAGGGGGTGGGTAGGAAGGGGGGTATACTGGGGTTCTTGGTCGTGGAAAATGTGCACTGGTGAAGGGACGGGTATCTGATCATTGTATGACCGACCAAGACTTACACTGAAAGGCTTTGTGACTGTTCTCACGATGATTCAATAAATTAAAAAAAAAAAGAACCAAACCCTACCAATGATGCTCTAGGAGAAGCTGAGTCTGGAAGCCATCCACATGTGGTAGTTTTGCACTAACTCTTCTGTGGCTTGCGGGCTAGATGGCACAGACATACATTTCCCACTTCTACTTTCATGGCTCACTAACCATATATAATGAATGCATCTTATAATTCAATGTACAGTTCAAAAACTGCAATGGACAATCCTGGATGGTTAGGAAATTTTCGACTGTCTGGGTTGAAATGTGACAGAGTATCCTTGACTAGAATAGTGGTTTCCAACCTTTTGACACCTGTGGACCACGACTGGTCTGTGGTGTTTTAAACCAGTGGACTAAATTATCTAAAACATGGCCATGTATAACTTTGGGGAATGTTTTATTAAATTGTTTTTTAATTATTGAATCACCACGAGATACAGTTACAAAGCTTTCATGATTTTCAGTCATACAATGATTGAACATCCATCCCTCCACCAGTGTACATTTTCCATCACCGATGTCCCCAGTATCCCACATGCCACCCCACCCCACCCCTTGCCTTTATGGTAGGCACTTTTCTTTTTACTTTCTCTCTACCTCTGGGCATCACGGTTTCCAATACAGATACTGAGAAGTCAGCATGTTTGGTCCTTTGCCTACTTTCAGCACACATCTTCATCCTGAGAGATCTCCCCAATCATCATTGACTTAGTGGTCCCTTCTCTCTCCCAACTGCCTTCTCCCCCAGTTCATGAAGCAGGCTTCCAACTATGGGGCAATCCTCCTAGCTCTTGTCTCTACTTTACTTTGGGAATTTTTTGTTGTTGTTTTCTTCCTTGGTTTATTTATTTGCTTTGGGGCAACATCCAATTGTGCTGGGGACTACTATGAGTGATTCTTGGTTCTTGGGAGACCATGCAGTGCTGGAAATTGAACCCAGGGCCTCACACACACAAGTCAAACATGTGGCTCTAATACAAAGCCACACCCCAGATCCAGGAACTGAGTTTTAAGTTTAAGTAACTGTCAGGTTGTTGGGAAGGCAGGTGGCATGCTCACACTCAGTCTAGAACTACGTGCCGTTTCTAGTTTCCTTATTTTCTCCAGCAGACTGGGACATATGTTGACCCAACTTTTACCAATATTGAATTACAGCATGTTTCCTCCTTTTTCATTACAGAAACAAAAAAGTTTGCAATAAACTTCCTGTCTCGCTGTCCCTTGTTTCACTTAGGAGCTGGAAGTGTATTATTCTAGTGGGGAACTCAAACTTTGCTGATAGAAAGGAAAATCAATTAATTGCAAGGTAGTTTTGCATCATTAAACTAAACAATGCTTTGTGTCCCCAAATTCCACAAGTACACTGAATGCTATCTTCAAAACCAAACCGAACCCGCCCCCTTCCTCAGAGTTGGAAAAGTTTATTCCCGTGACTGTGTTAGTATTAACCTTGAAACGTCTGCCATCTACCATTATACCCCCATATTTCTCCCATAAAAGCTTCAGTAAACTTACAGACCTGACACAGTTACCACAAGCAGACCTCTATCTGGGAATGATTATACTTGCATATGGATTCAACTTGGGACAGGAATAAGTTAGCAACTTACTTTGACCTCTTTCGGAGCACAGCATACAAACAGAATCCAGAAATGATGAGTATTTTACAGCAGCTGGCTTCCACAGGTGGTAAGATGGGCTTTGACACATGCTGGGTTTAGTCATTCAGCAAGTGTGAATTTTGGAAGTGAGCATCTGCCAGTCTTATTATTAACTAGGAGCTAAGTTTTCTATGTTTTTTTTTTTTTAAATGAACCTCCAGCCTTGAGAACTTAAGATACATTTTTGAATTTTTTGAAGCAAAATACTTAAGAACTTAACTGGAAAATAAAATACTGTTTCTCTTGTACTCTCACCTCCCTCAATGACTGGAAACAGCAGGAAGCTTTGGCGAGAGGGTCCTTTTGAGGTTCCAATCTTCCCCAATCAGCTGGTAAGGGTTTCCTTCTGGCTTCAAAATTTTAATCCCTGGTCAGCTGCTATTTCAGAAATCTGATGACCTCTGTGGCCATAATGTCTTACACAGATGGACATTTTCAAAAGTATTTTTTAAAATTGAATCACTTTGAGATACACCCTTACAAAGCTGTTCATGAGTCTTCTCTGAGAGATGCTACTATAGGTCAAGAGTTTACAAAATGTATTTTTTTTTTTTTTGGTTTTTGGGTCACACCCGACGATGTACAGGGGCTACTCCTGATCATTCCCTCAGGAATTACTCCTGGCGGTGCTCAGGGGACCTTATGGGATGCTTGGAATCGAACCTGGGTCGGCCACGTGCAAGGCAAATGTCCTACCCGCTGTGCTATTGCTCCAGCCCCATACAAAATGTATTTTTAAAGACTATAAGGTAAGCTCATTGAGAGGTTACAGAAGTACACATCAATGCTGGAGCAACAGGCAGGTTGCTTGCCTTGTGTGTGCCCAACCCAGTTCTGCTCCCCAGCACCACACAGGGTCCCCTGGTCCCCTCTCAGAGTCAGTCATCTCTGAGTGCAGAGCCAGGAGTAAGACCTGAGCAATTCCAGGTGTGCTCCCCATGCCCACCCCTGCAAATGAAACAAAACCAAAAATATGAATTAACTCTTTAGGCAAGTTTATGTCAAACGCTTGAAGCTGGCCTGAGAGTTTGAGCCCCTTAGGGTTTCTAAGAAGTTACTTGCAGATTGTAGGTTCCCGGGCCCTGGGGGAGCAGGTCCTCTAGGAGGATCATTTCATTGTGCCCAAGAGTGTCACCATTTAGCACTGACTGCGTGAGATGGTACAGAAACATAAAGGCACATTTGTAACTAAGAGTTTCCCAATAGTTCATGAAACATTACAAAAGGATAAATTACTTTAAGTAATCTATTTTATGTAACCCACTATATCTAAAATATCATTCCAACATGTGATTAATAAGAAGATAGTAGAGAAATGGTTTATTCTTTCTTTCAGGGGTGTGCTAAACTTAGTATAATAATATCTTGTATGTTAAGTTTCCAAAACCCAATCTGGCATGTCTCAATTCAGACTATGCTACCAGGGTACATGTTAGAGAATGCAGCCCTATTCTATTCAGGATGGACAGACAGACAGAAAATGCCAGGGGAGTGCCAAAGCCACTTACATTGTAAATTGCTGAGATACACTATGGCCCCTTTACCAGTTCACCTATCAGTGACTACAACTGTGTTTGCTTAGGATTTTGGTATTTGAAGTAGTAACTCACAGATGCTAACTCCATTTTTTGCTGTTCTGCACCTGCTTGTATAGAAGACCAGTCTTGGCTGACAGCCCCACTGTGATGCGTTGGAGGGAACGGGAAGAGGCTTACTGAATTCTCAGGGCATAGGAATATTAGTTCCTTTTCAGGGTTTTATACACATTTCAAAATAACTCATTTATTCTGTAAATATTATAGGATCTTCTCTGTACAAAGCCTTTATGAGCCTGAAATGCAATGACCAAACAGACAAGCGCTGATTCTAGAAATAAACTCAACAACACAGGTGGTAAAATATATTTAAGCAGCTTTGTAACAAACTTCACTTACTTCCTTTATGCTCCTTTCAAAGTATGAACTAATTTTAGCCAGAAGTAAAATAATCTGAAATCTAGAAAGAAACATTTGGAGTCTTACAGAATCTAACCAGTTCTATTCTTTGCTCCTTTGCAAATATTTCCTCTCATCTATTTACCTCCTGGTTGCACTGAAGTGCTTAACTTAGACAAACGAGTTCTTACCTTAGATAAATGTTCTCTTATGGTTTCGTTGTCTCTTTCCACCACCTGCATCATTTCTTGGCCCCCAAGGTAGGCTGCATTGGCTGTAGTTAGAAAAGAAGTCAAACACTTAGATTCACAGAACGAACACAAATGTCAAAATAACTGCAGTCAATTCCTGCTCGTCTTTTCTCTTTTCAATGTTGGCTAATAGATGTCAGAGTGGCCAAGAGAGGCAGTGAGTCAGCCAACAGACGAGCTTCTGGAAACGTGAACCTGTTCTACAAGAGAATGTCCTCTTGCTGTCACCAGGCAACACTCAGGAGTCTGATGATCTCGTATCAGCTATCGGGGGTTTCTGTCCCTGTGTTGAGTGTGGTACTTAATTCCCCACGGAAACTACTCTGATGGGATGACAGGCACACCTGACTTCTCTTAGTAACTTATATCAGAATGGTGAATGGAAAAGCACAATGTGAAATAACCACTAGGAAGTTACAAAGTACTCACTACAACATGAAACACGCTACACCATGAATGCACCTGAAAACATTATGAGAAGTAAAAGCAGTTAAACAAGGTGGCACCCAGTATCATTCCATTTATGTCAAGTGTCCAGAGCAGGCAAACCACTGAGACAAGGTGAGGGGTCACCAAAGACCGAAGATGGGTGGGAGATGGAAATGGGAGGAATGGCTATGTGTGTTTTTGTCCTTCCTTCCTTCCTTCCTTCCTTCCTTCCTTCCTTCCTTCCTTCCTTCCTTCCTTCCCTCCCTCCCTCCCTCCCTCCCTCCCTCCCTCCCCCCCCCCTCCCTCCCTTCCTCCCTCTTTTTGGGTCACACCTGGCAATGCTCAGAAGTTACTCCCTGCGCTGCACTCAGGAATTATTCCTGGCAGTACTATGGGGACCCTATGGGACGCCAGGGATCAAACCCGGGTCGGCCACTTGCAAGGCAATTGCCCTCCCACTGCACTATCACTCTAGACCTGGGTGTTGTTTTTAAACAACAAAAATATTCTAAAGAATTAAATGTTGAATGATATTAAGTTTAAAAACCAGTAGACATAATTGTGACTCAGTTATGTCACAGACTGTAGATGACTTCATCTTGATAGTCTAATCTCCCAGCTCCTCCCGAATTTGAGTTTTCTCTGGTTGGTGGTGGAAAGGGAAGTCGGTGCTTCCAAGCCCCCAAAGGCTGAAAGGCAACACTGTTGGTCTGAAGATGGAGCCCCTGGGGAAACGTCTTGAGAGGGAGTCACATTGCTGAGAAGAAGTACTGGCTGACAATAAGAAATTGGCAACTTTGGTCACATGAACCAGATTCTGCCAATAATTAGAAGAGCTTGACTCGAATCAAGTGAGAGTTTTGGATATGTAAGGGCATAAGAGAGGCTTCCAAGATGCAGGCAATGGTGATCCTCAAGCTGGGTGACAGTTATGTGGGAGTCTGCTATCATTCACGGAGGCCAGCATTGCTGTGTTAGGCATATTTACTGTAGTGTCATTCTTAAATAATATATATGTATACATATATATGCACATAAATATAATTATATTTCTGAAAAATATTTTTCTACCTGGGTATGTACCTGTAACTTACTCTTTTTTTCCCCTCTTTTGGTTCTGGCAATTTCCCACGTATGGATATTTAAGAGCAAGCAAGCAGGCAAGAAAGTAAATACCAGCTGTATTTTTTTTGTTTTTTGTTTTTGGTCCCAGTGATTGTTTTAAGGAAGCCATCTTTTTCATTCCTCAGAAATGCTCCTAGCACAACACAGTGGTCAGAAATAATAACACCAAGTAGAAGTGTAATTTCCTAAGGGGAAAATACATTTCTCTTGGCAATGACTGTCAATGACATTCCTGGAAACCGAGCAGAATTCAGAGTTTCAAACACAACAGTGGAGGAAATATCTAGTAGCAGGAGTAATGGAAACAAAAACATGAAGGAAAGAATGATTTACAAGAATGTCGATTGTTTACATTGCTTTCATTACAAATCTAAATGCAGGCAGAAAAAAAAACCTCATGGAGGGGTCTCATTCTATTTTATTTGTTAACCATTATCTTCTGCATCCTGTTAAGAGACTCTCAGCTCCTGGTCAAAATGATTCAAAATGTTTGAGTGATTGCTAATGATGGAAGATCAATAGGATATTTATTGCACAGGTCAGATGGTATCATTGACTTCTCCAAGATACTTTACAATCGAAGACTGCCTTTGATTGATGATCCTGATGCAATTTTGACTCTGAACAAACACTAACTCATCTTTTAACCCATATTAGCCTAACTTTTCACTTTGAATAGATCTGATCTCTCCTTTCCTGGTATCCCTCTCACCTTATATGGGCTTTTGTAATAGCCCTTCCCATGACATATTAAAATTCTTCACATTTGTCTCGGCTACCACGTTAAGAGTCAGAATTATAGCTCGTTTATTACTGTCCGTGCTTATCCGAGGGGTTAGCTCATGGCAGGTATCAAACCAGTAAGGGCCTTTTATTAAAATTAATGGAATGGGACTGAGTGTGGAGGTAGTAAGGTGGGTTTTGGGAGTAATGGTGCAGAGGGCGGGAGAGATTGAGAGGAACAACCTTGGCCTCCTCTGAAGTGCAGGAGCTGACAGCCTCATGGAGGCCGGAACTGGAGGTGGAAGCACATGGGTAAGGAGAGCCACACTGGCAGGGATCTGCATAAATTGGGAGGATCCTTGCAGGCATAACAACTAGGACCTTTGGTTGAGATGGGTCCCAAGCTAGACCCCATCAAGTGCTGGTCACAGCACTGAGGGAAAGAGAGAAATAAAATCACAGTGACTGGTGAAACAGAACGCTCTAGGGGAGATGCATGGGCCACTTTCTAAAGTAGACTCTGTGTGGGAAATTAAGATGTCCAGCTGTTTTAGTGGAATGGAATTTGGTGCCACTGGGAAGGCTCTAGAGTAGAATGCTCTGGAGTGTTATTTGAGCCGAAGCAAAGGGAATTATTTGAGGTAGTCATAAGTTTAATTAGGAAAGGTGAATTTTGAAGTAGGACATTAACAGTGTAAAAATGCTATGTTACTCCGACTCATGGTATTACTTTTAGTCTCTTTTCCTTCTGAATAGACATAGACATTGGTAAAAAAGAATATTATGATGTTTACAAAGAAAAAATAATCTCAAGAAAATGAGGGGCTGGAGAGATAGTGCAGATAGTAGAACATGTAACTCGCACACAAAGGCTCTGAGTTTGATCCTCGTCATGACATCCTCCTCTGCCCGGGTACCACTGCATATAGTCTTCGTGATCCCTGAGCACAGAGCTGTCAAGGATGAGCACCGAGATATGCCCCAAGTGGCCTTGAGCACCACTCTCCAGGGTCCCCACAGAAGGGGATCAACTATGGAGAAGGGTAGAATTAGACAGTGGGTCAACAACTTTTAAGTAGTTTATACAAAGGTAAATTTACGATGATGCACAGCTGAAACTTCTATAATATTGTAATGAAACGATTTGTCAATTAAAATGGCTTATTTTGAATTGAACAAATTGCTGGATTAGAGAAAGGCTGCTGGAAGAATAAAATCATGCAATTTGCAGCAACATGGATCAAACTACAGGATATCATGCTGAGTGAAGTCAATTAGAATGAGATGGACAAAGGATGATCTCTCTCATACGTGAGACACAGAAAGGTAGTGAGAGGGAGGGAGGTCATTGGTTATGAGCGTGGTTTTGGAACTGTGTCTATGAGAAACTATTATCAACATTATTGTATGCATTGGGCTGGAGCAATAGCACAGCGGATAGGGCGTTTGCCTTGCATGCGGCCGACACGGCTGACCCGAGTTCGATTCCTCCCCCCTCGGAGAGCCTGGCAAGCTACCGAGAGTATCTCGCCCACACAGCAAAGCCTGGCAAGCTACCCATGACATATTCGATATGCCAAACATAGTAACAAGTCTCACAATGTTACTGGGCCCGCTCAAGCAAATCAATGAACAACGGGAGGACAGTGACAGTGATTGTAAACACTGTGCAAAAGCAAAAATAAAACAGCAAGCAAACAAACAAACAAAAAAAAAAAAACAAAGGAAAAAGGTTGCTGGATTATAACCAGGTTAGTTCTCTTCTCTGATGGCAGGAGGGCAGGGTAGCTGTGGGGAGTGGTCATCAGTCACTGTCACTGTCCTCCCATTGTTCATTGATTAGCTTGAGCAGACCCAGTAACACTGTGAGACTTGTTACTGTGTTTGGCATATCAAATACATCATGGGTAGCTTTCCAGGCTTTGCCGTGTGGGTGAGATATTCTCAGTAGTTTGCCGGGCTCTCCGAGAGGGGTGGAGGAATCGAACTCAAGTTGGCTGAGTCAGCCACGTGCAAGGCAAACACCCTACCTGCTGTGCACACAAGTACAGGTGAAGCTTTTTTAGCAAAAAAGCTTTACTTGAAATATTGTTGAAAAAAGTAGAGGACTAACATTTGTGGGAACTGAGATGGGCTCTGTGGTGGATAGGGACATGGAGGCATGCTTCACAGAGGGCCTGCCATGCACAACACTGTGGACCCTAGTCTGAGGAGTCTTGTCAGAGTTGCGGGACCCAAAGACAGTCAGGGGAGACATGCCAGCGATGGGATTTTGTGATAAGAGAGGTGAGTCCAGTGTCTAGGTTACTCGTTCATATGGAAAGAGTTAACTAGTATGCCATGTTGTGTAACAGATTAAGGACCAAACAAGAAGCCAATAACCCCCCCCACCCCTGCCTTGCTTCCTTCCCTTTCTAGAACCATGGGAATGTCAAAGCAGGGTCTTTCCCCATCCCTGCCCGTGAGGGATGGGCAACGGTTCTGGTTCTTGCTGCTGCTCCACAGGCAGATTTTGGGACAGAACAGAAAGACTTCACTTTCACTTTGACACAAACTAAAGTCTCCTGAAGAATGACCCCTCTACTATTGTCCCCCACGCCCCGTCCTTTCTCTCAGAGATCTCTGGAGTGACAGATGCCGTTATATGATTATGAGATGAAGCACGTGAGAGTAAAGCTCTAAGTGCTAAGGTGGAAATTGAGGGAGAACCCCCAAACTAGTGGCATGTGGAGATGTTATTTGGATT